TTAATTTGTCTTAAACAAATGAATGAATGAATGAATGAATGAATGAATGAATGAATAGTGCCCAGAGTAGTGTTTCAGTAGAGGTTGAATAGATGAGATAAATCTGTCCCCAATGCCTTCTCTCTCTACACTGTTGCCATTTGGCATCCTAACTCTGACAGTGAGAACCAACCAATACAGTAGAGTTTCTTCAAGTGGGTTCACTGGTGGCTAGAGTCCAGAACTTATCATCCTAACTGCAAGAGAGGCATTGGACCATAATACCTCATACTCCACATGACTTCTTATAGAATTCCTTCAAGTCTGCTCACTGGGGGCTGGAGTCCAGAACTTGTTGTCCTAGATGACAATGCCTCAGTGAATCAAGCCATCCCCTTCTGTTTTCTACCATCCTAAAGTATCTAACAATGGAGAAAAGGATGAATGAAGATTCAGGCAAGCAGGCTGAATCCACGCTGGGCTGTGGTTTGTTGCACGGAGCAGCAGCTTTTCAGTTCTGCCTAGTCTTAAGTGAATAAGGCAGCAGCCTCGACCTGAGTTACCCCATTTTGAGTATACATGACTAGAGATGACTTCAGGTCTTATTTACACAGGGAAGCAACAGCCTCCTGCCAACATGCCCGGAAGCACAAGCTGACAATTTGTTGATACTAATAATGATACCTTAAAATGTATCAAATCAGAAACGCGAGACATGAGAGCTTATCGATCCCACCAGATGTAACTCCCTCTCCTGGGCCTATAAGAGAAGGCACACCCTAAGACTGAAAGGAAGCAAGAATGCCGACTAGTCACCCTGTCATTCAGCACAAGCCTCATCCAAGAAAATTGTATAGTGCAGGATCGTGGGCTCCAGCTCCAGAGAAGACATTCAGACAACAAACCAACCCTCAAATGGCCTGCAGTGGACATGAATTGTACACCTTTGTGTCTGCACTTACAGTGTTTTTTTTCTGAGTCTCTACAGGCTTTCCCTTACAACTGTCTCAACTCACCGCCTCCGACATCAGGACAGAGTCTCTGAACTCGGAGGCCTCTTTAACTCTTTCATAGACATTCTGTTGCATGATTATCTAAAATGCAAAATGTGATCTGAGAATTATTAGAAATTAGGATTGGACTGAAAGAACCAGTGATTGGGAGCTGGTTCAGGGGGCAAAATGTTTGCCATACAAACATGAGAACCTGAGTTAGGATCTCCAGTACCTTCGTAAAAGCAGGAGCTGTGTAGTGTGTTATGAAACCCTAGACATGGAGCAGCAGAGACAGGTAGATTTTAGAGCCTGCTAGCTAGTCTAGATAACCAGCAGGCTCCAGGTTCAGTGAGAGACCTTGTCTCAAAGAGTAAATGGAGGCGGGAGAGAGGGACTGCAGTTAAGAGCACTGCCCTTCAGAGGACCTGGTTTGATTTCCAGGATCCACATGGTGGCTCACAATCATTAACTCCAGTTCTATGGGATCCAATGCCCTCTTCTGGCCTCTGTGGGTATTGAATGCATAGCAAAACACCCATAGATGTAAAAATAAAATAAATTCAACAAAATTTTAAAATAAATAAAATTGAGAAGCTTAATGTCAACCTCTGGCCTCCTTATGCATATCCATATGTGCACACACACATGCACCACACACATACACCACACACATGCACAGAGAGAGAGAGAGAGAGAGAGAGAGAGAGAGAGAGAGAGAGAGAGAGAGAGAGAGAACCATTGAAATTAGCATTACTTGGCAAATCACAACCAAGCTAACATAGCTTGTGATTTTACTAGTTATCCGAGTCCTGACATGTAGAAAGACACAAACATATCTGTGTTTCTCACATTACATGCACTTAGTCTTCCATCCTAAAGAAGGCACCATTCTGCTGAATCACAAAGCAGGCTCTTCAAGGATCACAGAACTAGCACTTTACCCATGGGGCTCCTGGAGCTCGTGGGAGTGCTTTGAAAACCTGTGAGGTGGTTTGCAAGGAAAGCCCAGAGGGTCATACTTAGGATTTTTCCCCTAATCCAGCCAACACTTGCCCATAATGAACTTATTTATGCTAATCTCTGGGAAGGCTTGCCTTGAAGCCAGAATCCCATTGCTTTACTCTGCTCTAGTCTAATTCCATTTGCCCTCTGCTGTAAAGAGAACTGCTGAGGATCATACAGTAAGGAAATATGAGTATTTGCTGCCCAGAGAGAAACTCCTATCAAAATTACTGCCCTAGGAAGCCTGTGCATGTATGTCACACTTTGCCTCCTAAGGGCTCAACTCTAACTGGTAGGGTTTAATGAATGGATGGCGGCATGAGAGAAGAGAAAAGTTCACATCACACCACAGTTGAGCTATCATTGCTCCTGCTCATTCTTATTCCACCATCTGCAACAAGGAACAAGCAAGGTGCTAAGGTCCCACACGGGGCACTTCCAGAAAATCCTCCAGCATATCTATGGCCTCACTTCTACAGGCCAAGTCAAGGTAAGGAAAAAATGAGGAATAAAAATCAGTTTTCTGAAGATTTGTGCCTGCATTAGTGTATGCATGCCATGTGTATGCCTGCATGAATTTATGTGCACTATGTGTGTACAGTTGCCTGAGGAGACCAGAGAAGACATCAGATTTCCTGGAAGTGAAGTTATCGGTGTGGGTGCTGGGAACCCAACCTGGGTTCTCTGGAAGAGCAGAAATCATTCTGAGCACTAGTGGTGACAGGAAGGTGAGACTGCAAAGAGCAAAAGCCACTCTTAGGTGAAGGATAAGGACGGCCTGAGTCATAGCAGGGAAATAAGAGCCTGTACTGGTTTGAAAATGATCCCCATAGGGAGTGTCACTATTAGGTGTGGCTTTGTTGGAGTGGGTGTGGCTTTGATGGAGGAAGTGTGTCACTGTAGGGGCGGCTTTGAGGTGTCCTATCCTCAAGCTATTCCCAGTATGGCACACAGTCGCTCCTGCTGCCTGCAGGTCGAAATGTAGTCCTCTTAGCTCCTCGAGCACTATGTCTGCCTGCATGCTACTATGAAGATAATAGACTAAACCTCTGCAACTGTAAGCTAGCCCCAATTAAATGTTTTCTTTGGTAAGAGTTGCCATAGTCATAGTGTCTCTTCACATCAATAGAAACCCTAAGACAGAGCCCACCCTTTGCCTGGTAATCAGTGAAGAGCTCCAGCCTTGTTCTGCAAAAAGAATTTCAGAGGTTCTAGAGCTTTGGTGGAAGGAACAAGAAGGGCAAGAGTTGTCAATTCCTGCACGGCCTTACCTGATGCTCAAATCTAGGAAGGAGTTGGCAGGGCCAGAGAGAGGACTCTCTCTCTCTCTCTCTCTCTCTCTCTCTCTCTCTCTCTCTCTCTCTCTCTCTCTCTCTCTCTCTCTCTCTCTCTCCTCCCTCCCTCCCCTTCCCTCCCTCCATCCCTCCCTCTCTCTTTCTCTTTTTCTCCCTCTCTCTCTCTCTTTCTGAAAGGAAGTCACAGCAGGGAAGGGACTGGAATACAGCTCAACACCAACCCAACCATGCCACTCACCCCTATATCTTTGCTTAGATGAGATTACTTATAGGCACTTCAAATTAAGAGTTCTAAACTAAACTCACCTTCCCCAACCCTAAAATCAACTTAGTGGGTTCCTTATGGATACAGGAGCATCATCCATGCAGCTCCTATAACTAGAAACATAAATGCCTTCCCCAGTTTGCTCCCTATTACAAGTCCAGCAAGCTCTAAGGATGGTTTTGCCTACGAGTTCATGAATCTACTCCTTCTCTACACGATTTTTACCCGAGATCAAGTCCTGATCATTTCTCACCCCAATCTTCATTTCCACAATAATGCCTCCTGGAGGTCTAAAGTGTGAGCTTCTAAATATGCTCGTTCTGCTTTGGATTAAGTCCCTAGCACACTTGATTCCATGGCACTGGGCTCTTTGTTTCTTCTCTCTTATTGCAGTGGTGATAATAGTGGACTCTAAGTAGTTAGTGTGGGAGGTGATTCCAGGAAGCATGTCAAGATACCTGATTTTTTTTTTGTTTTGTTGTTTGGGGTTTTTTAAAGATTTTTTATGTATATGAGTGCTCTGTTTTCTTGTAGGTCTGCACAACAAAGAGGGCATCAGATCCCATTATAGATGGTTCCAAACCACCATGTGGTTGCTAGAAATTGAACTCAGAACCTCTGGAAGAGAAATCAGTGATTTTTTGTGGGTTTTTTTTGGGGGGGTGCTTTCCTGATATGGGCCACTTGGGCCCTAAGGTTTACGTGGGTTACAAGCAAATGACAGAAGGTTTTGTGCCCAAAAGACTCTCACATGAAATGTTTTAGTCTTGCACAGGAGTAGACACTGTCCAGAGGGACTTGCTCTCCCAAAGTGGCTAGAGCATTCGCTCACCAAACTCCCTGGTAAAGGAAGTCAGACTCCAGAGGCATCCTGGGTAAATTTGTGATAGTTTGGATCTAATCATCTCTAGAGGCTTCCTGCAGGAAGCATGAACATGCTTGGTGGAGGTAACTGGGTGGCAAAGTGATTGCTTAGCATGTGCAAGGACCTTCAAAAACACATACGCAGGAATGCATGTCTACGCGTGTACAGCTACCTGCCCCACATTTCCACAAAATGTTCCTGGGTCTCTCCCTGCTGGTCCTGATAATCAATGGGAGGATCCTCCTCCCCCTCCCCTCTCCTTCCCTAGTGTCCCTGCTTCCTAGAAGTGCCACTGTTCTCCACGTTCAGATCTTGCTCTACTATACTCCACTCATCTGAGACGTGCAGGCAGCCCTAACACAGGTTCCCATAAGTGATTTCTACTCCCCTTTCACTCATGAGGAAGGGAGGCTCCAGGAGGGCCAATGGCTAATAAGGGCAATAAGGGCGGGGCCTGGAGATTGGAGGCAGGCTATTCTGCTCCCTCCCCCTTAACCACCCTAGGTAACCTTTCCCACCCTCCAGCACTTGACCTTCTCTGCCCAGAGGGAGATCCGAGTTCTTTGAAATTTATTCCTACCTCAGATGCAGAGTAAAATAACAGGGCCAAAGTTGGTATTACTCAGAGTGTGGGCAAGGTCCTGGGGCTATAGTCACACCATCTGGTCCCATGCCAGTCACGCCCAGCTTGAGCTCAAGCACAAGCATCCTTCAGGGCTGTTTCAATGCCACCATCGCACCATAGCGGGTGGTGAGCCCCTGGGCTGGCCAGTCGCCCCAGAGAAAAGAGGAAAGGCATGAGACACATCCAGGAGGTCTGGCAGCAGCTTTTACCCATCCAGCCCTAAACCCACAGATCCCAGGCTCTTGCTGCTCTCTGGTGGCAGGAGCCAGGAGCCAGAGCCTCGGGGATCGCACCTTGCATGCTCCGCTAGGGCAAGGGCAAGCAGAGAGTGACCAGTGACAGTGGGAGAGAGGAAAGGAGGCTTCGAGACGCAGCTGGGGCAAAGAGGACCGGGGTCCAGAGAGAGCCGAGGAAAGGAGAACAAGGGGACAGCTAGGGTAGAGGGCAGTCGTGGGCACCGGCAGGGACCCCCTCAGCCGCTGGTCGCGCAGAGCCGGCTGCTTCTCCAGCCGGCAGCCCTCGCTCGCACCGGCCGCCCCCTCCTCCCTCCCGGCCGCCCCTCCTCCGTCCCGCCCCCGCGCAGAGTCCCAAGCGCTGCAGAGGCCGCCGCCTGCACTGCCGCTCCCGGAGCCGCGCTCGCCTGGACGCGCTTAGAGAAGGGCACTGGGCGACCGCCCCGGCCCTTCCCTCCCTGCGACTCCGCGGCCACCGCTAGATCCGTTTCCTCGCGCCATCGTTCCCGCTGGGACCTTCACAGCCCGGTGGCCTCCTCTCCACTCCCCCTGCACTACAGTTTCCCTGCGGCCCCCTCCGTGGCGGGAACTTGGGCAGGACCGACGGGACCGGCGCGCTGGGCTGGCTCCGGCGCTGCGGCGATGCCCGCGGGCCCCCTCCCCGCCACTTGCTCGCCCTGTGCCGGGGCTCGGGCCCCGACGGCTGCGCCGTGAGATGACTTTCCGCGACCTCCTGAGCGTCACTTTTGAAGGACCCCGCTCGAACAGTAGCACTGGGGGCTCCGGCGCAGGCGGTGGAGCTGGCACGGCTGGACCAGAGGGCCCTTCGGTGGGCGGCGTGCCAGGGACCGCTGGCGGTGGAGCTGTGGTGGGGACCGGCAGCGGTGAGGACAACCAGAGCTCCACGGGAGAACCGGGGGCTGCTGCTGGCGGCGAGGTGAATGGCTCAGCGGCCGTCGGGGGGCTGGTGGTGAGTGCACAGGGCGTGGGAGTGGGAGTCTTCCTAGCGGCCTTCATCCTCACCGCTGTGGCGGGCAACCTGCTCGTCATCCTCTCGGTGGCCTGCAACCGCCACCTGCAGACGGTCACCAATTATTTCATCGTGAACCTAGCGGTGGCTGACCTGCTATTGAGTGCGGCTGTGCTGCCCTTCTCAGCCACTATGGAGGTTCTCGGCTTCTGGGCCTTTGGTCGAACCTTCTGCGATGTATGGGCCGCTGTGGACGTGCTGTGCTGCACCGCCTCCATCCTTAGCCTCTGCACCATCTCTGTGGACCGGTACGTGGGCGTGCGCCACTCGCTCAAGTACCCAGCCATTATGACCGAGCGCAAGGCAGCTGCCATCCTGGCCCTGCTCTGGGCGGTGGCCCTCGTGGTGTCTGTGGGACCGCTACTGGGCTGGAAGGAGCCAGTGCCCCCAGACGAGCGTTTCTGCGGCATCACCGAGGAAGTGGGCTATGCTGTCTTCTCTTCCGTGTGCTCCTTCTACCTGCCTATGGCAGTGATCGTGGTCATGTACTGTCGCGTGTATGTGGTTGCACGCAGCACCACGCGCAGCCTCGAGGCAGGCATCAAGCGGGAGCCTGGCAAGGCCTCCGAAGTGGTGCTGAGGATCCACTGTCGCGGTGCAGCTACTAGTGCCAAAGGAACCCATGGGGCACAGAGTAGCAAGGGCCACACCTTGCGCAGCTCACTCTCAGTAAGGTTGCTCAAGTTTTCCCGCGAGAAGAAGGCTGCCAAGACGCTGGCCATCGTCGTGGGTGTCTTCGTCCTTTGCTGGTTCCCCTTCTTCTTCGTCCTGCCACTGGGTGAGTGATCCTCCTCCCCTTCTGACAAGTCCCTTCCTGGAAGGCTTAGATGACCCACAACCTGACTATGAATGTTTATGAACTTCCTGGTCGCTTACTGTTAAAGAGGGAGAGCACGGGGCTCTTGGTACTTCTAGATTTCCTTTTACTGGTTTCTCATTTCTTTTCTTACCTTTTGTAGCCATTACAATCCTTGGCCTTGCTTTAGTTCCTTGCAAATCTGGGCAAACATCTCCCTGTAATATGTGGCCAGCAGTGGATGTGCCCCCTAGTGTATATGCCCATCTCTGGATAGATACACAGCGGGCCAGCCCACGTGCACTCGGTCATTCACCCGCAGCAGACCCAGGCCAGTCACCTTGTATTTCAGCAGACATCAGAGGCCCTGCTTTCTCCGATAGGTGTTCTTTCAGTGGCCCCACTGGTATCTGTGAGAACCCTGTGGGTTTTCCCCTCTGAAATCTCCTCTTGAAGGGGTTGGAGGAGGGAACCTGTTGGGATGGGAAGGGCAGGATGAGAAAATGGTCAAGTGGACAGTTACTATTGTTTATAGTCATTTATGGGGTGAACTAGTTCCCTTACAAGAGCTCTGCTATCCCGGGGAAAGCACGGCTGTTCTCGGGGGATTCCTCCCACCCCTGGAGCCTGGAAACCCTGGAGCAGGCCCAAGGACCTAGACCAGAAGAGAAAGGGGCAGCTCTTTGCTCTGGTCAGTTTGCTCATAGCTACAACCTCTATGGGGTCAAGCAGGGCCTCCCCAGCCGTTCCCCTGGCTGCTTGCACTCGTGAGACTCACTCGGGGAAGAAGCAATGGCCTCCCTCCTGGGCCCCTGCAAGTCTCCCACACATGGCAGCCATGGTGACTTTTATGTATCATAGCTCAGTTGTGTCACTCTCCTACAAGTCCCTTGGTGTTTTCATACTACTTAGAAACAAAACTGTCTTCCATAGCCTACAGAGGGTAGCCTTCAGATTTATTATTGTCCAAACGGAAACAGGTCACTATTAGCATTTACAGTAGTTAGGACCACAGGTATGAACTTCAGGAGTTCCCAGCAGATGCTGTTCCCATCTTAAAGGGGCTATTAAGGGAAGTGCTTCCTCCCTCTGCCCTGGCCCTGATCCTCTGTAGTTACTTCCTTGTGTACCTATCTCTGGTCTTCTCACTTGATCTTTCCTCTGTCTGAACGGTCCCCCAAACCTCTTAGCTAACTCCCGACCTGTGGGTTTCTGCCCTTTGTCTTGGCGTTTCACTCCGTCACCGGCTCTCTGGCTTTTCCTTTCAACTGTGTCATCACTGAATCCATAGCACCCAGAATGATGCCTGGCATATGAGGAAGCAATATTGTTCTTCACTGAGACACAGGCTCCGGCATCAGTCTACTTGAGTTCAGATCCCAACTCTGCCTCTCACTAGCTATGTAGCCTCAGGCCTCTGCTTCTTCATCTTCAAGGGAGGATAGTGATGATGATGGTAATACTTCTGACCGAGACAAGAATTGTGAGCACCAATTAATTGCTGTGCATGCTGTGAATGAGGCAAATGTGAATGTTATGCACTGATCCCCCACCCCACCAAATCAGGGGGAGATATAAAAACCCCACTGGAAGACCATCCAGCCAAAGTCTGCTTTGGGGTTGGGTTGGGGACTGAGAAAGCGACCAAGTTGGAGGAGGGAATAGATAGCCAAGAGAAAGATGGTGTGCCCCCCACACACATCCTCTCCAAGGCCCAGCCCCACAGCCCTGCTCTGGCCTTGCCTTATGGAGCCTGTTCAAAGGCACCTCGTTCTCCTACCTGTGTGTGTCTAGTTCACGCCAGTCCCGACAGGGAACCCTCAGCCTGGGTAGAAAATGCCGCCTCCCTGTTTACATTTTCCTTTACTTCTCTTAAACTTTTTTTATTACAGAAGAATGCACAAATGAGGAGAGACTAATCTAATAATATTATAATAGTGAAAATCTAATAAGCACCCGCAGGCCTGTGATCACCCTCACTGGGCATATGCTGAACTTGCTGTATCTACCTTATATCCTTCTTCTTGCTGCTTGCACAGGATAGAACACAGCTGAACTCAATGCCCCACTTCCTCCTCCACCTCCCCAGAGGTGATGCTGGCATCTATCACTCCCAGGTATTTGTTGATACTCTTACCACAGACATCCGAGTTCATTTCAAAGTATTGCATTGTTTTGTGTGTCTTCAGAATTTGTATCAATGGCATCCATATGCATATCTCTCTTCAGCCTGTGTTTTTCACCCAACATTATGTCCTTGAGATTCATGCAGTGTGGGGCCATTATTAGCGCATTTGAGACTACTGCATGGTGTGTTGATCCAGTCTCCTGCTGAATGTTAGGTTTCTCTCATTTTTGTCACAGTTAAAATCAACACAGAAAAAAGACCAGGACTGTTAGTTGAGGTCCAGATCGCATCATCTTCCAGGAAACCATCTCTAAATCTCCATGACCTCTGCCCCTTGCTGGCATGTGCTGCTTTTTCTCTGTCCCTGTCTGCTGCTCCTCCCACATGGTATAAGTAGGAGCCCTGGAGATGTTTATAGCTGGCTCCAAGAAGGGATTGCATGGATGTATGAATATGCAAAATATCAAGTTGTGTGTTTTAGGATGTACATACCAGCTCAAACTCCTGGCAGAGCTTAGTCCTAAGGAGCTGGCAATAATGAACAAACAGGGCAGGTGCCAAGCAAAGAAACAGGGTATTCCACTCTGCCCTGTATAGACTGGAGGGCAAAGCAGAGGGTAGAGGCTGCTGTGGGAGCAAGAGAGTGGCCTGGAGGCTGTTGAGGAGGGAAAGAGGCCAGGAGGCCCTGACACTCACGGGGCTTGTGAGGGAAGAGGTGCCCTTGAGCAAACACTCTGGGCTGCAACTCTTTGTGGGGAATGTGGCCTTCAAGGGGCCAACAAGTTTCAGCTGGAGGTGTTAGGATAAAGTCTATGGGGATTTGGGCACAGAGGTTAAAGATCGGGGTGCTTGCCAGAGTGTGGGGTACAGTCTCCCAGGAAGTACCTGTTTAGAAAGAACCAAACGGATGTCAGGAAAGGCAGCTGGGAGAGCAGCAGTACAGCCGAGAGACAGCCGAGGGACAGCCCAGGGACAGCCGAGGGACAGCCCAGGGACAGCCGAGGGACAGCCGAGAAACAGCCCAGGGACAGCTGAGGGACAGCCGAGAGACAGCCGAGGGACAGCCCAGGGACAGCTGAGGGACAGCCGAGAGACAGCCGAGGGACAGCCCAGGGACAGCCGAGGGACAGCCCAGGGACAGCCGAGAGACAGCCCAGGGACAGCCGAGGGACAGCCCAGGGACAGCTGAGGGACAGCCCAGGGACAGCTGAGGCACAACTGAGGGACAGCCCAGGGACAGCCGAGAAACAGCCGAGGGACAGCCCAGGGACAGCTGAGGGACAGCCCAGGGACAGCTGAGGCACAACTGAGGGACAGCCCAGGGACAGCCGAGAAACAGCCGAGGGACAGCCCAGGGACAGCCAAGAAACAGCTGAGGGACAGCCGAGGGACAGCCGAGGGACAGCTGCACAGGCGGGAAATCTTCAGATCCATGTGAGTGTGCCAGCTGTGACAAGAGCCAGGCAAGGTAGTGCTGAGGAGCGAGGAGTGTCCACAAAGTCCATGGTTACAGAAATGAAAACAACTACACGGCCGCGCTCTGGGGGTCACTAAGCAGCCCCCCCCCCGTGCCCTCATCCACACCTCACATGTTCAGTAGCCCCAGCTGCAGTGGAGATGTAGCTGGTGAGCAGAAACAACAGCTGTGGGGTAGCACGAGTGCTAAGGAAAAGTCTGGAATCCCAGAGGAATGCTGGCATGGAGGGCCACCTATCAGCCCCAGCATGCTGGCTGGTCACAGTAGACACGGGAGGCTGAAGCGGTCTATTTAGCGAAACCCTGTCCCCGCCAAAAGAGCAATATGCTATTGGTCAAGCCAAATATACTACGAAGAAGGACCAACGGCAACAGGTGTACTAAATCGTGAGGCCCCCTGAGGACAGATGCAAGGCACACAAAATCATAAAGGGCCCAGATAAGCTGCAGACCACTCTTTTATGTCTGCCTCACTTTCCCCAGGAGGAACAAGCACAGAGTATGTATTCCCCAAAGGAAGGCAGAGGTTACTTTAATGGGAACCTCAGACATCGCTTGTCTGGTAATACATACAGCAGCACAGGGAGCTTGCTGGTGCCTGGGCTGTGTGTGGACGCTTGCAGCCCTTGCCCTGGTGAGTGGCTACAGGCCTGTCTGCCTTCTTACCTGACAGCACACCTACAGGACAGGCCTGAACAGTCTGCTCCTTTTTCAGTCTCAGAGGCATTCCTGGTCAGACTGGCTTGTGGAGAAAAGAGCTCTTGACATCCCCACCCAGGACAGACACATTTCCCCTGGTCTCAAGCACGCTGGTACAGGGCTAGATGCCATGAAAAAAATCATAAACTATATAATGGACCTGGTCACAAGCAGCCCAAACTTTGGTGTGTAGGGGCAAGGGCAGCAGCTGTTTTATTTTTTGCAGTGATGAGGACGGGGCCCAAGTCATGTGATCCACCACCGAAATACACCCCAGGTCCCATCACTGGCCTCTGAATGTCACCACTCACGGCAGCTTCAGTCATCTGGGAGCCAGAACAGGGTCTCTCTTTCATAGTGCTGGCCTGTCTCTGTGGTAGAGAACATATCCAGCCCTCAGACTTGGTCTTGTTTTAATCCACTGTGATATCGACATTCAATGTGTATCACAGTGTGAGTATAAGGAACCTTACCTCATAGGCACAGTAGATTAGCCATGTTGGTGGGATACCCAGGTTGACACACCTGGAATGGATAGTCTATGAGAAAACAGGTCCAGAGATGAAGCCCAAGCAGGAGGATAAAGAAAAAAAAAACATTTATTCATAGATTGGACTATTATTCAGCAAGAAAAAGTAACAAGTGAATTTTATGGACTTTTTACTGAATGGGGTAAGCC